CCACCATATGCAGTTGTGAGTATCGCGTTGTGGCACCGCAATGGAAGGGGAACCGCATGCGAACCCTGCCACTGAGCCCTTCGGTGGAACTGGGTGTATGGGGCCACGAAACATGTGAGGGGTGTGCGGGAATGGGCGGGAAACCGCATGCGAACCCTGCCACTGAGGCCCTCGGTGGAGCGCCCTACAGGGCCACGGAACGTGTGAGGGATATGCCGTGATGGACATGGGCAGGGCACGGGCAGGGATGGGAGGAGGGAGGATGGGGAGGAGGTGGAGGAGGGGAGAGGAGAGGACGCGGGGCCCTGCGTCTTCAGAGCGAGGACCCAACACCACAGGCTGGTTGGACAAGAAAGGTCTTGGGTGTTCTCTGGGGGACCTCGTGGTTGCGTGGCCACTTGCCGAGCCCGTGGGCCGAGGGAGGCAGCTGCGGGGGCTCGGGCTTCCCGAGCCGGGGCCTCGGCTGGGTCTCGGGGGGGGGGGGGGCGGGGGCCGCTCGGAGACCCCAGCGGGGGGGGGGGCGGGACTTGGGGCCCAGCTGCCTCTTGGCTTCGGCCGTGCGCAGGGGCCCCCGTTTCGCTGGCGCGGCCTCTCCTGGTGCAAGCCCACCGGGGCCACCCGAGCAGCGGCCTGCGCGTCCGGAGGGGGCCTTTGTGTCCGCGGCCCCCGCGAGAGCCGCGCAGCCAGGGCCGCTCTTGCCCAGGGCCGCTCCTCTGCGTGCAGCCGCCGCCCGTCGGCCAGGCGTGCCAGACCTCCAGCGCACTGCAAAACAAAAAAGCAGGACGACTGGTTTCCCTAGATCTCGGCGTGGGCCCTCGGCGAAGGTTTTTCCGATGGATCTCGCCCCCGGCGCCCGGCGTGGGCCCCGGATGGCCCTGGGACCCCTCGCCAGTGGGACGGCGCGAGGAGGGCAGCCACCCGAGAAGGCACGGGCGGCACGGGGGCCTCCTGGGAGGGCTCGCAGGCTCCTCCTGCCTCGGCCGCCCGCTGCCCCGGTGGCCTATCGTCCCTGGGAGCTTCTGGGGGGGGGGGCCCTCCGCGAAGGGCGCCGCGGACGTGGACCCGGCGGCGCTGGCGAGGATGGTGGCCGCCGGCTACGTGCGCAGGCTGCTCGGGATGCAGGCCCGGCGCTCTCGGTCACTTGTCGCCCGAGCACGGCCCGCTCCAGAGAGGGCCTCTTCGAACCCCACCGTCGAGGGTCCGACGGAGCAACCATCTCTTCCCTAGTGGAAGCCGGCGGAAGGCCTTCCAAGAGATGTCTCGTCGGCGTCCCAAGCCGACAGAGGCAGGCAGAAGTTGACATCTCATCGGCTTTCCGGGAGATGTCGACATCGCCCCGCGACTCATGCCTGAACCCCCCACCCCCTCTGGCCAGAGTTCTTTTCTTTCGTCCGCGGGGAGTCCACCTTCGCGGCGGCCCGTTAAACCTGAGACCCCTGGCGGATTCCGCGCGCGTATTGCCATAGGTACCCTTGAACCCCTCCTGCTAGAGTGCACCTAGTACTTGAGTAGAACTGGTACCATCATGTGTAAACGCGCAGCTGCTCCTAGAGTGAACCTGGTCCTGCAGCGCAACTAATTTATCAACTTGCGATCGAGGCATTTAAGGAAGCAGTATAGCTGCTAAGCCTCGTGACTTAGGAATCAGGAAACACTGTAGGATCGCGACTTGGAAGCACGGAAGCAGAAAGCAATCGCGAATGAGGAATAAGTTGACAGTCTATACAGTAATGTAGAATTCAGAAATAGGACACATAGTAGCGTGCAAGTAATATTAGTACAGTTCCTGAGTACAACTACTATTCGAGTGATGCTGCACTCCTTTTACAATATGGGCTCTCGCGCTTTTCCTCTTCTGGTTGCGTTGGGGGGATTGGACCCCGCGCGCCAGCACCCCCTTCCTCCAGAATTTCTGGCAGGGGTGAACCCCTGTGCCCGAACCCTTTGCCAAGGATTTGTGTTTGCTTCCGCGGAAGCCGGACCCCCCTTGGGCTCCTCGGCGCGCCCGGGAATGCTTTCCTGCCGGATGGCCCGCCATGGGTCCTGTGTTGGGGTCGCCCGCGTGATATGTCGACAGCGTTTGGCTCGGGGGGTCCAGAACCGCTCGCATGTTCGTGCTGTCGCGCTCGCCCGTGTTGCAACTTCGTCACGTGGTGATCAGTGCTTGGCCTTCCGCGTATCCTCGGCGGCCCATCCAGAAGTGATTGAGTGCTGGGAGATGCGTCGCAGCTGCGGAAGAAGAGAACACGCTTGGCCCTCTCCTTGTAGAACTACTGCGCTCCGCGGGGGGGGGATGGAGTTCGGGGCAGTATGGGTATAGGGGTTACAGAGCAGGCGCGCAATGGCGCCCTGACATCCCTCATGGAAGGCGCGGTGGCCCGCATGCGAGCGAGCGCTCCCACTGAGTCCGGCGGTATTTTTGGGGGGGGCACGATCCGCGTGAGGGGTGCTCCGAAAGGGGAGGAGGGAGCGCATGCGGGCGCCATCACCGGAACTGTAGGTGGAGCTCCCTGTGGTGCGCGATTCGCGTGTGGTGCGTGCAGAGACCAGCGGATGCTTGGATGCGAACTCGCCCACTGGAACTGCAAGTGGAGCTTTCTGTGGGGCACGATCTGGGTGACGTGTGTGCCGAAATGAGAGGAGGGACCGCATGCGGGCGCCCTCACTGGACCTGTAGGTGGAGCGCCCTGTGGGGCACGATCTGTGTGATGATCGTGCCGACAAGGGCGGAAAGACCGCATGCGGGTGCCCTCATTGAAATCATAGACGGAGCTTCCTGTGGGGCACGAGTCGTGTGAGGGGTACGCCGAAATTGCCAGAGACCGCGCATGCGGGCACCCTCGCTGAAACTTCAGTTGGAGCTCCATGTGAGGCACGATCCGTGTGAGGGGTGGGAGCGCACTCGTCAGACGTACGTGTGCAATTAGTGCATCCGCGCCTCAGACCCGTTCGACAGATTGATGTTCCGTCGTCTCGGAAAAGGAGCACCTGGTTGTCGTGTGCCGTGTGGTATGCGTTGTGTTTGTGTTTGCAGGCCTGGTACCTCGCATTTTGTGCGTTGTTAGTTTGTGCGTGTGTCGTTCACTCTCCGCAGTTCTTGCGCCGTCAGGTCGCACTTCCTGTGTATTGCAGGTTGCGTATGACGCGTGTGCGTCCGTGCAGGAGTGCACGTGCTCGTCTGTGCGCGTGCTCGTTCTTGTGTTTGCTTAAAAACTTCTGCTCGTCGCCGTCCCCCTCCGCCTCCCCCCCCGCCGCAGAGAGTCCGGAGCGAAAGAAGGACGTACACGTACATGAATCCACGCTGGTTTCGAGAGTTCGCATTGCCCGAAAGTTCGTATCACGCGGCCGGTCTCGCAGATCGAGGGGCCGTGTTCGTGTACATAGCTGGGCGCGTACGTCATTTGTGGGCTCCCTAGAGAGATGCTTCTGGCTTCCAGGGAGCGGCCGGCGGCGTGCCTCTGGTCCGGGGGCCGCCGCTCTCGACAGTGCCGGTGGCGTCGCCCGCGGAGTGCAGCTCGCCGCCGCCGTGCCGCGGGCAGGCGGCCGCCGCCTCCCTTCCTCTCCTCCTCCTCCTCCTCGCGCGAGCTCTCCTCCTCCTCCTCCTCCTCCTCCTCTTTGCCTCCTCCCTCCTCCTCCTCCTATCCTCCTCTCCTCCTCCCTCCTCCTCCTCCCTCCTCCTCCTCCTCCTCCTCCTCCTCCTCCTCCCCTTCCCTGCAGTGGTGTGTCCAGGTCCTCTCCGAAAGCCACGCGCCGCTCTCTCTCTGCCCTCTTGGCCCTCTTTCTGGTCACCTCGTGTGGCAGCGTGGCTCCTCCCGCTCCTCCTCGCCCCTGCTCGTGCTCGCTCTCATGCCTCCTCCCCCCCCCCTGTTGGTCTGCAGGATTATCTGTGTCCTGCACACCCCCGGCAGCGCCGTCCAGCGTGACGGTCTTTCGAGGACTCCCGAGTTCCGAGTTCCCCCCCCCCCCTGCTCCCGCGCAAGCAGTCGTCGTTAGCAGTCGATGGTCACAGATGTCGCTGGGACGCGATGTAGGATGCACAGTCCACCCGCATAGTAAGGACGGTTAGCCTTTCCAATTGACCCACGCATTCTTGCCTCCTCGGTCCATCCTTCGCCACTTTTGTTGGCCGCGCCCCGCTTGAAAAGCTTCGACATGGGTGTCCAAGGCCCTTGCATCCTTACTGCGCATCCTTACTATATGGGTTGGATATATCGCCCGCTCAGGAGCAGCTGTGGGTTGTGCCTTTTTTTCCATTGGATGTCAGGCGAGGGCCCGGCGGGAAAACATCCAAGCGTCATTCGGCAACGATACTCCGAGTGCAATAGGATACCCCAGTGTGGACCCCAAACAGCAGTTTCTTGCATCCCCGATGTGAACCCTACCCAGTGCAATCTACGTGGGTGCGCAATCCAACTCAGGGGATGGAGTCTACTATGTTTCACGTGCGATGCAAGCGACGACGACGACGACGACGACGACGACGACGACGACGACGACGACGACGACGACGACGGCGGCGGCGACGACGACGACGACGACGACGACGACGACGCCCTCCCGAGGGGCCGGCGGCGGCTCTCGCCCTGGTGCCCGCTCCCGCCGAGAGCAGGCCGCCGCCGCGCCGCCGAGGGGCGGCAGAGGCGCCCTCCCCCGCGCGCGGCCGCGCTCCGCTTCACGGGGAGGGGGGGGCGAGGGAGAGGGGGGGATCCCCCGAGGGGGGGGAGGAGGAGGAGGAGGAGGAGGAGGAGGAGGAGGAGGAGGAGGAGGAGGAGGAGGAGGAGGAGGAGGAGGTGGAGGTGGAGGAGGAGGAGGAGGAGGAGGAGGAGGAGGAGGAGGAGGAGGAGGAGGAGGAGGAGGAGAGGGAGGAGCAGCAGGAGTGCTTGGGCCCGCGGAGGCCGCGCCGTGCGCGACGGGGGGGGAGAGAGCCTCTGCCACGCCCTGGGCGGTCCTCCCGGGCCCCGGGCCAGCCCTCGCTCGCGCCCGAGCGTGCTGGAGGCTCCTCCGCGCCCTCGGCGGTCCTCCCTGCACGGAGGGGGTCGTCACGGAGAGGATCGAGGCCCGCGGGTCGGGGTGCTGCTGCGTGGTGTGGGCTCAACCTTCCACGCACGATGTCCAGATCGCTTTTCGTAGCCCGGGACCGTGGGCAACTGGATGCACCAGCGGCTCAGCTGAAAAGTGATAATGTGCGTGTGTGTGTGTGTGTGTGTGTGTGCGTATTTGTGCACATACATAAATCCGCCACCGTGCCGCGAGGCACGAAGTGAAGTGTCCTCAGGACGAAGGCGAGCGAAAGTCTGGACTCCCCTCGGAGTATCCTGCACACTCGGGAATTCCCCACGATTCGGACGACGACGACGACGACGACGACGACGACGACGACGACGACGAGGACGACGAGGACGACGAGCACAGAGGGGGGAACGACACGAATGACGAGGCGACAGGGGAGTGGACACCCACGGCTGCCAGGATGGTGAGCTCACGCGCTCTGTGCGCGTGGCGTCAGCGAGCCGCCGAAGCGAAGACATCGTGAGCGTGGGGAGATCAGGGCGGGACCTCGGCAGGTTCAGGAGGGAACAAACACACACAGACACAATGAAGCGACAATTCCCCAGAAAATATGGGAAGCTATGGGAAGTGGGGGAGAAGACAAAAACCCAGAAAACATGGGAAAAGATGGGAATCCCGTGATTTGTGTGTATATATTTGTGTGTCCCAGGGCCCCTTCAAAAACATCGTGAGCGTGGCGAGATCCGGGCGGGACCTCGGCAGGTGGCTGTGGCCCCCTTGCCTGGAGAGGGGAGGCTCGCCGGGAAGAGCATCGAGGTTCGCGGGCCGAGCGTTTTGGGGCACTCCGCTGCCTCCCTGGACATCCGCGAGGCTTCTCGTCGCGCCGGCCAGACTCCCTCTCGAAGTCCTGGCCGAACGCGCGCCCCAAGAGAGGTCCCTGGGCCGATGTTCCAGGGTCGCCGCGAAGAAGAGGAGGCCCCAGGGAGGGGGACGCGGAGGGAGCGAGAGGGAGCGAGGGAGTGGAGGCAGCCTTTGTCAACACCTTTTCCTCCTCCCGGACCACGTTTTGATTGTTCAATGCGGGCTCCCCGGGAGCTCTGGACCACTTCCCAGGGACCGACTTCTCGGCTTGGCTCGTTTTTTCACGTCTCTGGGGCCTGGCGAGGGCCCCCCAGACGCCGAAAACGATGAGAATTGTTTGATTTGATTTCTTCAGTGAGTTGGAGGTCTGGGATCACCACCACCCCGAGCCTATACCCCGTAGTTTTCGCCGTTTGGGACGATCCGGGCACTGCTGGATCGCCCTCGGCGAGGCGCAGCTGCTGGGGCGCACCCCGAGGCATGCAAGCCGCCGAAAACGGACGACAACGTCCGACAACTTTTTCCCAGTACAGCCAAGGCTCCAACATAGGGGGCACTTCGGGCTCAGGAAGAGCTCGGGTGTTCGAGCCGCTCCTCAAGTTTGTGTGGAACTTGTTCGTGGCCTCGGCCCACCGTGGCCAGCAGCGCCCCTTATTGACTTGTTTCGGCCATGCGTTGTGGGGGGGTCAGGGGGAGGGGGGAAGGCTCCTTGGAAGCGCCCCTGCTTCTTGGACGGCGAGGGCCTTGGCTAGAGATGTAAGGCCAGCGCCTTCTAAGCAGCAGCCTCCCTCTAAGAAGTCTTCCCCCCCTCCCCCATACCCACTTTGGCGCACCGCCAGTTATTATGCGCTCCTGATGGTCGCGCGACGACTGCGCAGTCAACCCGCACTGCAAGGATGAGCGACTTTCCAGGGCCACCCTTGCATCCTTCCCCGTCGGCCCATCCTTGGACGCCCTCGCTGGCCGCGCCCCGCTCGCAAAGTGTCGCCTTGGCCTTCCAGGGCCCCTGCATCCTCAGCGTGCGTCTTTTATTCATACGTGTTGGCTGCATCATGCGCTCCCTCTAGTCCCGTGTTCCTGGCGCGCCGTTGACGGCAACACCAATTCACCCTCCCTCCGGGACTTCGCCCCCGGCTCCTGTCCATGGCGTACCTTTCCCTGTGCAAGGTCTTCGGCACCGCCTGTATTCCGCACCCTCCGGCCGCCTGAGGCCCCGCCCACCCGCGCCCTGTCTCCCCAATTAGTGCTTCGCGCGCCCCGCGTAGCTCTTAACCGGAAGGGGCCCGCTCCCGACCCGCCGACCAAACAGTGTGTTGGAGATTTGGGCGCCGATGCCTCTGCAGGAGCCCCTGGGCCCGAAGGTGCTCAGGAGTCAGGAGGGGAAAAAACACACAGACACAATTGATCGTCGATTCCCCGGAAAATACGGGAAAATATGGGAAGTGGTGGGGAAGACAACAGCCCAGAAGGCATGGGAACATATAGGGGAATCCTTTGATTTGTGTGTATTTATTTGTGTGTCCCTGGGCCCCTTCAGGTGCGCCCCCTCGCGGCGGCGGGCCCCCCCGCGGCCGCGCTGGCCTGGGCCTCCCGCGGGGCACCGGAGCCGGCCGCGGCCTTCTCCGCGAGGAGCGCCCGCCCTGTGCAGGCCGCCGCCGCCGCCGCCTCCGGCAGGTTCGCGTCGCGTCGCCTGGCGGCGACCCCGCCAGCGTTGAGTCGGGCGTTGCCCCCTCCAGGGGGATTTTCGATGAAGAATACAAAAATATGCCAGACATGCCCCAAAAAGGTAACAACAAAAATATGCAAAAGATGGTCCCCGGACCATTTTTGGATCATGTTTTGATTGTTTCGGGGGCATTTTTGATTTTTCGTCGAAAATCCCCCTGTGTGGGGGACAGGCCCGACGTAACGCCAGCGGCGTTCAGCTCCGAACGCCGCGGGCGACCCAGGATCGTTCGACGCGGAACGATCCAGGCGTTTCGGAAACGGCCGATCGTTCGAGGTTGCACGGTATCCCCGCGGTGTCAGAAGCCAACGCCGAAGTCGGCACGGCACGAACCTGACGTACGGCATCATGAGGGGCAGCGGTAAGAGGGGGAGGAACGGATTGAGTAGGGCCCAGGGTCAGAGAGCGCCATTCTCTGCAGGACCACCCAAAGAAGGACGTCAAAGTGGTCAAACGCCTCGCCTGTTAAGCCGACGGGGATGTGCAACGTCTGACCATTCGCCTATGTCCAAAGTTTTGGCTCGACGCCTGGCGGCAACGGTTTTGGGGGAGGATTGGCTCAGGGGGGAACGCACCGACCCCCAATCGCCCGTTTAATCGCCGATAGGGCTCGGATAGCCCCAGCCCTCAGGAGCGTGCGCATTCGCTGCAGGGGGGCCCATCGCCGATCCATTGACGAGGTGCGGCCGATCCCAGGTCGAGGTTTCCCCCCCTGAGCTGGTTTTCCCTGTCGTTGCCCCCCTCACAGGACTCTCCACCGCAAGGTCGGCACAGTCGAAACCCAGACCTCCAACGTACTGAAAGCATCAGGACGGAAAACTGCCGGGCCCAGTGTCAAATATAAGCTGGGCCGAGAAACTGGCCCCTGGGAAGTGGTCCAGAACTTCTGTAGGTGACTCCGCATTAAGAAAAAGAAGTTGTCGGAGTTCTTGGAATGGGTGCAAAGACTGATAGCAGCCCCTGTCCATTATCAGGAGGTCTCGCTGTCGGTGTCGTCGCGGATGTGGTCCGTCTGAGACACGTTCGCCCGTCCAATAGCGGCCGCTGTCCGTTCGAGGAACTTTTTTTGGTGGGAATCATGTATGCTTTTGCCGTGCCCGTTTCTGGCGTGCCAACAAGATGTCTTCTGTCCTTCTCCTCCTCCTCCTGCCCTTCTTCCTCCTCCTGCTCCTCCTCCTCCTCCTCCCTCCATCGTCCGCTGGGGTCCCGCGGGCATCTGCGAGATTTCTGGCCACCACAGTCTGCAAATAGGTAAGTACTGTTCACAATTCAAAGACGATTGCCTAGGGCCACCCCAGAATCGTAGCACACTGGCAAGTGTTAAGTGCAATGTGGAGAGGTTGAGTTCTGGGGTTGAGCCCAAGAGTGGGAGCCCCATCCCTCCATGAGTCCCAGGAGCCACCCCCCTCTTTCGGTGTTTGCACTCCTGGCTGACGCCTCGCCGCCCCCTTATCTGCTGGATAGAGCCTTGGTGGCTTGGATTCCGTTCTCTGCATTGACCTTGGGCTGATCAAGTCGGGTGCTCTGGGTTATCGCATGACCTCCCCCACTGATGCCCGGACCCCCCCACCCCTCCGACGGATTTCTTGTCTTTCTTCCGCGGTGGTTGGTCCCCTGCCTCCCACTCCTCGTACGCGGCCTGTGTCCCACTCGCGGCTCGCTCCTTCGCGCGAGCCCAAGCTGCAGGCGGAGGGGAGGAGGGAGCCAACTGAAGAGTCTGGGAGACACTGGAAGGTCCATCTTTGCGTCGGCCCGTTAAACCTTGGACCCTTGGCGGCGCGTGGATTCCATTCCTTCTTCCGCGCGCGCCTTGCCATTGGAACCCCTGAACCCTTCCGATCAGAGTACGACTAGTACCTGAGTGTAACTAGTACTAGCAGCTTTGTCGTCGTCGCTTTCCGAAGCAATCGGTTAGAGTTGTTTGCCTTCCTCGTTCTTTGGCGGAATTGGTTCGTGTGGGTCGATTGGTGTCGCCGTTCTTCGATGACACTGACGAATGGTGGTGGTCATTCCGTATTGCATTAGAACAAGATGCTACAGTGCAGCTAGAATATAGGAGCACAACTTTAGTTCAAGTATTTTTACAGCACTGCTGCATTACATTTGCAATCTGGGCTCTCCTGTTTTTTCTCCTCTGGTTGTGCCGGGGGGGGGGGGGAAGCCCCGCGCGCGAGCACCCCTGCGGCTGAGAGTTCATTCCTCTTCCGATTTTCGAAATATGAAGCGGAGGTAACCCCCGTGCCCGAATTCTTCGCCAGGGATTTGTTCTCCCGCGGGAACCTGACCCCCTGGATTCTTCGGTGCAACCCAGAAGTTCTTTTCGGATGGGTCCCCTATTGGTCCTACGTTCGAGTCGGCCAGGTGATGTGATCCGGGGGTGCTTTCAATTCGGCCCCCTCCCGTTCCTTCGGGTTTGGTTGGGGCTGCTGGACTTGGACGTCCTTCCTCCGTCTTCTTTTCTTCCTCCTCCTCATCATCATCCTCCTCCTCCTCCTCCTCCTTTCTCCTTTCTCCTTTCTCCTTTTTTTCTTCTTATCCTCCTCCTACTTCTCCTCCTCCTCCTCCTCTCCACCTTCCTCCTCTTTCCCTCCTTCTTCTCCTCTCCTCCTCCTCCTCCTCCTCCTCCTCCTCCTCCTCCTCCTCCTCCTCCTCCTCATCATCATCATCATCATCATCATCATCATCATCATCATCCTCATCCTCATCCTCATCCTCATCCTCATCCTCATCCTCATCCGCCTCCTCCTCCTCTTTCTTCCCTCATCTTCTTTCTTCTCCTCCTTCTCGTCATCCCCCCTCAGAGCAAGGGGTCGAATGATGTTTGACTCTTGGGCTGCCCCGAAGGCCTCCAAGACGACCGAAGAGGGCCCCCACGAGGGCTCCACCACGGACCCCTGGGATCAGCTGGCGGCACGCTGGAGGCTGAGCCCCCCAGCAAGGCTCCCTGGGCGTCTGGAAAAGGCATGCGAAAACGCCGCGAGAGCGCCCAAAAAATCCAAGAACCTGGGGACCTTGAAAAGACATTTGATAAACTCCGTGCAGAGCCCTCAAAGGGACCCGCAAACACTCCACCTCGCGCCTCGAGGTAATTACTCGGTGGCGGATTGGTAGCAGGCACACCAAAGAAGTTAGCGGCATGCCAGCGGGTGCCCTACGGGATCTTGTGTTCATTCCCATTTGATGGGCGGATTTCCCACCACCACTACCATAGGTAGGGCGGGGGAGAAGGGAGGATGGGGGAGGTCCTCCTCCTCCTCCTCCTCCTCCTCCTTCTCCTCCTCCTCCTCCTCCTTCTCCCCCTCTTCCTCCTCCTCCTCCTCCTCCTCCTCCTCCTCCTTTTCCTTTTCCTACTTCGGGTATAGCCAGGACCCCAGGTAAGGGGACCCGGTTAGTGGTAGGGCCCCGGAGCCCCTAAATTTGCCAGAATCACTAAACCATGTCTGCCGTAGCTGCTGTTTTTTCGGGTGACGGCTATTCCGGTTAGTGGAACGGGGCGGGGCGGGCGTCCCCCAGTACGCATCACTAAACCAGGTCCCATGAAACCCAGTCCTGCCAACGACAACCTATGGCAGCGGTGGTGGGAAATCGGCCCATCGCCAATGGCTCACTTTGGGGTCCTTCCCCCGATCGGCGCCTACACTGAAGGTCGCGGACGCTGTGAGGATTTGGCGAACGTGTCGGGCCGATGTTGGGTTGCGGCCAGCTTTCCTGGGCCTCCGTGTTCCTGATGTTCCCCTATCAGTGCTTGTACTAGGGGTCTTCGTGGATGGTTGAGGCGGCCTCCTGATTCCCAATGGGTCCAGACAGGCACCCAAGAGGTCTGGTCCTCCAGCATAGCCCCCCAACGGTGGCATCCAAGGGGGGCCTCTGGATGCCGCCGTTGGAAGGTCTCGAAAGGCCCTGTCGTGGTACCTCAGGGCTCTCGTGTGGCCGCCTTGGGGCCTGGGGCCCTCCAAGACGGGCCTTGAAAAGTCCCAAGAGGGCTTAAGAAACCTCCAAGATTGCCCCAAGCAGGCCTCTTTAGGGCCTCCAAAGGACGCAGAGGGCTGACTAGAAGGGCCCGCGAATTCTAGTCAGCCCTCCCGGAATCCCCAGCAGACAGGGGCTGGAATCGATGACGATGACGAGGGTCATGGCAATGGCGCTGACGACGACCACGAAGGCGAGGATGATACAGGCAAAGTCAGCGGTGACGATGACGATGATAGCGGCGATGACAGACATGATGATGAGGATGGCGGCGCGGATGGTGGTGGTGATGATGGGTTGGCGAAACAAGTACAGTCAAAAACCCTAATTAGGACGCGCGACTTTGCTCAGGGTACCCTTGCGTCCTTGCTCTTCCTTGCTCTTGCGTCCTTGAGGTTTTCGTCGTCCGCCGCCCCAAAAATCCCGGCTTCCAAGGGTCTTGCGTCCTTGCCGCGCGTCCTTGTTAGGGTTTTTGACTGTAGTGCATGGTTGCCGAGGGCACGGCTGTCGTGGTGACGAGGGCGAAGCCCCCCCGGTCAAACTGATGTGAGGGTGCGCGGGCCTGGCGGGTGGAGAGCCGCGGGCCCCTGGGCAGGAGGGGGCCGGCCCCGTTGATCCAGGAACACGATTCTCCTCCTCCTCCTCCTCCTCCTCCTCCTCCTCCTCCTCCTCCTCCTCCTCCTCCTCCTCCTCCTCCCCTCTCCTCCCCCTCCTCCCCTTCTCCTCCTCCTCCTCCTCCTCCCTCCTCCTCCTCCTCCTCCTCTTCCTCCTCCTCCTCCTCCTTCTCCCCCTCCTCCCCCTCCTGGATCCAGGAACACGGTTTTATCCCCAGGCATGGTTCCACAGCATCAACATGTGATTGACGCCTGAGCCGTCTCAAAACACGAGCGGTTCCCGGCACAGTCTCTGGCGCCCGGAGGGCTCCGCAGGCTTC